TTCACACACACACATTCACACACACACACACACACACACACACGCGGGAAAAAAAACGCACAGTCTGTGGGACAAAAAACACACACACACACACACACACACACACACACACACACACACTGTGGGAAAAAACACACACACTGTGGGACAACAAAAAAACACACACTGTGGGAAAAAACGCACAGACTTTGGGACAAAAAAACACACTGCCGAGGGGCGCAGAGGGTGTCGGCGTGCGCGCGGGGCCCCGTCGCGTCGGGCCGCGGTCGCGCGAGGGGCCCCCCTATGGGGCGGGGAAGCCTCTCGTGCGGGCAGGGCGTCGGGCGGGGGCTGTCTCGCGCGGGCCTCCTGCCGTGGGGGGGGGGCCTTCTCGTGTGCCCCGCTCTTCATCGTCTGGGGCGTTCTCGTGCAGGCTCCCCGTCGTGCGCGACCTCCTCGTGTGGGCCGCCCCCGTGTGGGGCTCGTCGCGTGGGTCCCCTGTCGTGCGGGTCTTTGCAGTGTCGGTGCCCTGCCCTGTGGGGGCTGTTCGCGTGGGTCCTTGTTCGTGCGGGGCTTTCTCGTGCGGGTCTCCTATCGTGTGGGCCTACATCGTGCGAAATCCTACGATGTGAGGTCACATGGGTGGGGCCCATGGTGAGGGACGCAATGGGGCGCCGCCGCCTGGAACCGCTGGAAACTTCAAAGCTTCCCGCTGACCAGGGCCAATTCGTTAAACATTAAATGTCGAAGAAAAACTGAACAATGGATTTCCTGAAATCCTCGCAAATCTAATGCCCTCCTCCTGCCTTGGCTGCTTGCCGAGCCCAAAAAACCCAACCGCCCACCGAAATCGTCCCGCAACTTTCGCCCACTACTTCAACCAAGTCCCAGAACCGGGAGCCTGTGAACCCAGACGGCCACCGAAATCGCCCCCCAAACTTTCTTTTCAAATCCTTCAATCTCCGCTTTTATCAGAGAATCCCACCAGCGCTATGGGCGGAGGCGGTTCAGGGCGTTTCCTCTTCCAACCCCTTCGTCCCCTTCGGGGAGGGGTTTGTCCCTCCTCCTCCACTTCCCCCTCGGTCTGGATGAGGCGTTTCGCGAGGCGCTGGAGCATCCAAGACGCCCCGGGATGGCTCCAGGAGGGCCCTGAAGATGCCAGGATGGCCTTCAAGATGGAACAATCTTGTCCGAGATCGCTGGAAGCAGGTTTCCAACACGTCTCAAGCGGCCCGCGGCCGCTCCAAAGACGGACCCAGGTGGCCTCGAACCTCGAGCCTCCCAGGGAGGCCCCCTAGACGTCCAGACCGATCCCAGACCTGAGGAGCATCAATGTTGATTGCCTCATACCTTTTTTGCTCCAGGGGGTTTTGTTTTCCCTCCCCGCAACGAAGCCCCAAACCCCAGGAGCCGTACACACTGTAATGTCCAACCGACAAGAGCCGCACCTCCACTCCATGGAAGCAACAACCCGGAAAGGAATTACAAAGACAGCAGAACGATGGACAGCAGCAGCACAAACAGGGAGAGGGAAGCAAGCGGCAGGGGGGAAAGAGGAAGAGGCGAGAGCAGCACGGATGGCGACAGGATGGCTAAAGAGGGCCCAAAGAAACACCCAAGCGATTTTCAAGACGACTGCAAGGCGCCCAAGAGCACCCCAAAAGTGCCCCAAGAGGTCCCATTGGAGGCTTCTGAGGAGGGGGGCTAAATTGAGAATCCCTCCTTCTGTGATCGATATCTCGAAAAGGGTCCCAAGATGAGCCCCGATGCTTCCAAGAGGGCCCCAACAAGGTCCCAAGAGCGCCCCCAAAGCTTTCAACATTGCTTCAAAACGGCCCCAAGAGCACCGAGGACGCAAGAGCGCTTCCAACATGCCTCCGAGAGGTCCCAAGACCGCTCTGAGACGGCTCCAAGCGGCCACGGATCCTCCCAAGAACGCCCCCTAGAGGCCAACCTTCCTCCAGCATGCTAAGAGAAGCCAGTCAATTGTGCCTTATCGCCTCTTCGCTTCCGATGGTCGGGCCGGGCGAAAGGGGGAGATAGCAAAGGGGGGGTTTGAGAATCAGCTCACGTAGCTGATTTTCCTGGCGCCTCCCTGCCCATGTATCGAGGAATGGGCCCGGCGGCGGGGCCGAAACCAGCTGCATGCAGCAGATTTCGTAACCCCCCCTTGCCCTATCCCCCTCTTTCGTTCGGCCCGAGATGGGCATTTGGGGCCGACGAGGCCCGACGAGGCCGATTCCAAACGTGGGCCTCACTTGCCTGCCTCTTGCGCTGGGCGCTCCCGCGCTTCTCCGGCTAAGGCGGCTCGCCTGGCCATCGTCTCCAGATGGGCTCGTTCCCGTCATCGTTGTCGTCGTCGCTCTGTCGCCGTCGTCGCTGAATTCCTCCCACGTGCTCCTCCTCATCCGAATCCTTCTTGTTCCCCTCGGGCTCCTCGTCCTCGTCGTTCTCATCCCACTCCTCATCATCCTGCCCATCTTCCTCGCCCCGTCACAGGGCTTCCCGGGAGTACTTGTTCTTCATTGTGATGACTATCTTCACTGCTGGTCTTGCTACTGCTCCTCCTCTGCGTCATCATCACATGTCTCCTCCTCTTTCTCATCCCCTTCTCCCTCTTGTTCGAAGATGTCACGACGGACTACTTAGCCTTCAATCCTTACTCGTTCAATCGCATCTCTGCGCATTTCCGTGCTTTCAGTATCTCAACATTACATGCCCCTCCACTTTTATGATCAAGGCAACTCGCCTGGGCATCGTTTCTGGACGGACTGGTGCGGATACGCGATACGCGAAGCATCAATAATCGTAATTCCTATTCGGAGAGTTTCCCTTCAACGCACCTCCTGTGTGTAAGCCCCTGGGGAGGCTCCATCAGGAAAACTACCACGCACGCACCCATGCCTTTAAGTGAGGCTCTTGCTCTTTGGTAACTTCCCGCCTGCCAAGCAGTGATGTCCCCCCCTAAATATGACACTTCCCTTGCAGACGACGAATCCCCCCCCGCGTGTGAAGCGTCCCGGAAGCTATGCGTCTCTGCTCCTCGTTCCTGGCCCCGAGAATTGAATCTGCTCCGCCAGATGCTGCTTGTCGGCCTCAGCTGTTTTTTTGTAGCCGATGGAATTGCTTGTGCGCCCAAGAAGCTGAGGTGAAGTGACCGGCTGGTTTGGCTCGAGGTGCCAGCTAAGCGCTCCTTCGATATCAAGCCTGAGACTTGTTCCCCCATCCTTATGCCGATCCAAATGATTGAAATCTACAGCGGGTAGCACAGCAGACACGGCAAGGAACATGAAGGGTGAAGACGGGAAGAATAAGACATGTTCAATCATGTCGCAAAACGGGCCATTTTCTCTGCGACCATCCTGACTCCCCAAGCAAGACAGATCCGTCCTTGTAGGTGAACAATTTCCACGTCACGCCGTCTTCCAAACACATCAGCAACACGTAGAACTCCGGCACAGAGAAAGGAACAAGCAAGGATCACAGCGGAACTTGCCACTCCCAGTATGACGCAAAGGGCACGCGTCCGCTGCCAAGCCAGGCCAGACTCGGGCATGGTCTGGGAGCACCGTAATCACGCGCCGCTTTTGTCCTGCTGCCGTGCTCTTTGTCCAAACCGACGCCTCGGCACTTGCGAGCCGTCCGCCTCGATTCCCGAGAGCCGCTGGATGCCCGGGGAGGCGTTCAGGCCATGCGCCCCAAGTCCGACGTCGAACCTGGCCCGGCCAGGCCAGGTGGGGGCTGCAAGAAAGCTCGCCCGAAGTTCTCCGCTTGCTCCCAGGAAAGAGGGTGGGGTAGAGGAGGTCTCTGAACCACCGACGGTGCAAACTTTTTTCGATCCGCGGGTCGAGAGCGCACCTCTTCCGGTCAAAGCTAAGCGGGCCGCGCACAGCTTTAATTGACAGAGGGGGGAAGGCAGAAGGAGGGGCCTCACGTCAAGGCCAAGAGAGGGCAAAGCCCCGGAATCAGGCGGTGCCGAAGACGATGTGCTTGCGACGGTGCAAACATGACGCTGCTGGATTTCATGGCCACTGTCATGCCGTCTCGTGCCAAGGGGTGATCCAGCCGAGAACCCGGCACCATCCCAGAACCCACCAAACGCCTGCGCCAAGTGTCCCTGGCACGGGGTGTCGGGGGCGGCGGTCGAGGAGAGGCAGGTCGTGCTGCCGAGGGACAGACTACCGCAGAAGCATGCAAACTTCTGGAAGGGGAAGTAGGAGGAGGAGGAGGAGGAGGAGGAGGTGCAGGAGGAGGAGGAGGAGGAGAAGGAGGAGGTGCAGGAGGAGGAGGAGGGAGGAGGAGGGAGGAGGGAGGAGGAGGAGGAGGAGGAGGAGGAGGAGGAGGAGAAGGAGAAGGTGCAGGAGGAGGAGGAGGAGGAGGAGGAGGAGAAGGATCTGCAGTTTTTGTTTGGTCCATTTCCACGCCCACCCAGCCGGCGATGGCCTTCGCCAGGCTCACTGGTTTGATCACCCCCCAAGGCCGACCAGCTCTGGGGGCCTGGGGGGGATGGCTACGTCTGAAGACCTGCTCGCCACCAGTGTCTCAGTGTCCCACTAGGAGAGAGAGGAGAAGGAGAGCAGGGGGGGGGTCTGTCCACCGCCCTCGTCGGGCGCTCACCCGATCAATCCAGCAGTCGCCCTGCCCCTCCACGGGCCACCTGGGCGACAGCGCGGGGAAGCGTCTACCGCACAGGGGAAGCGCAGCAGACCTTGCCTTCGATCTAGAGGGGAATAAACTGCAAAAAACGACGAAATCTGAGCTCCAGGGGCGGCGCCAGGGGATGGGGGATTGAATATTTATGGAAAATTCCGAGGGTTCAAATTTTCTTTTAGCCCTGGAGGCACGATCCGTGTGAGATGTGTCAAAAATTTGCCGATCGACGCTGTCTCTGGGCCCGGGCGCTGGCGGCTCAAAACAATGCTTTCTGGCCCTTGGAAAGGGGGAGGCTATATAACAGAAAAATCATACCAGCCCTCTGGGCTTAGGTGATTAAACAAATTCTGTCTTCTCTCTTTTTCCACAACCCCTTCTTCCCCTGCTCGGGGGAGAGGTTTACCCCTCCCCATGCCCCCTCACCTGGGCCTGGGAGGGGGGGTGCGAGGCATCAGAGCGCTCAAGACGGCCCAAGATGGCTCCAAGAGCGCCTCAGAGAGCCCAATATTGCCTCCGAGATTGCTCAAGAGAACCTCCCCGCGCACGGCCCAATAAGGCCCAATGATGTTTTCAAGTGCCCTCCAGGCCCTCCAAGGATCCCCCCAAGATGCCCAAATGGCTCCAAACCATGAAGGAAATCACTGATTTTTGCGTTCATGCCTTTTCGCTTATCATGGGCTTCCGAGGCCTCAAGATGACCCCAGGACAACCCAAGATAGCCCCAAGGGGGGCCCAAGAGGGCTTCAAGAGGGCCCCAAGAACGCCCAAGAGCACCCCAAGAGCGCCCCAAGGCCCCAAGAGGCAATTTTTGAGCCTCCGAGGGGGGGACCTGAATTGAGGACCCCCCCCATTTGAGCTACGGGGGCCAGACGGCCCCAAGAGACCTTTCAGACCCGCCCAAAGCGCCCAAACGAGGGTCCCAAGATAGCCCCAAAAGAAACCCAAGAGGGCCCCAACAGGGCCCCAAGAGGACCTCCAGAGAGCCCCAAGATGGCTCAAAGAGACCCCCGAGAACCTCTCACAACAACGCTTCAACTCGCCTGTCAAACTGTTTCTGAATGGGCTAAGCGTCAAGAATTGTCCCATCCCTGGAAGCACGATCCGTATGCAAAAATTGGCCGATCGACGCCGTCTCGGGGCCCGGGTTCAAAACAATTTGTTCTGAACCCGGGACGGGGGGGGAGGCCTAAGCGGCGGGGGGTCAAACATTTTCTCCGGCACCGGGAGAAGGAGGAGGAGGGAGAAGGGAGGAGGCACTGCATTGCGTGGCATTGCGTTGCAGATCATTGCGTTTTGCTGCGATGAATTGTTCTGCATTGCATCCTGTTGCATTGCATTGCGTTGCGTTGCGTTGGAGCGCATTGCATTGCATCATGTTGCATTGCATTGCGTTGCATTTGCGTTTGTAGAACTGTGCGTTGCACTGGGGTGCGGGCGAAGGGCAAGGGGTGGAGACAGGGAAGGAGGAGAACAGGATTTAGAGAGGAGGGGAGGAAGGAGAGCGAGGCGGGAGGGGGGAAGGAGAAGGGAGGATGGAGAAGGGGGAAGGAAGAATGACGATGACGATGAGCAGCGAACTTATAATAGTGTTGTTCGCTCCTCTGGTCCTCCTCATCGTCGCCATCATCGTTGCATACTCCGCCACCGCGCCTCACGGCACGAAGTGGAGTGCCGTCAGATGCTACACAGGCCTATGTAATCTGTACGTGGCGAATATAATGGAGTCGTCATTGTCTTTGGACACCGCGGCGCTGCCACGTGACAGGTACAGGGCAGTTTTTTGAATGCATTTTTTTTTGTGTTTTTGTCTCATATGACTTTTCATACATGATTAAATTAGGAATAAATTTATGCATGAACTCATTGTTGTTTTTAAAACTAAGCCCTGCATTTTAATACATTATACGCATGCGGAGCATGTATAGAAAACGGCACTGTAGAGTGGAATAGTCAGAGTGAGGGGGCCGAACGGTCATTCACTGTCTCTGGGTGCGTGGCTGAAGTGGGATTCCGCGATGCGGATCCTTGTTGTTTGTTTGTCGTTGTTTGGCGTCGCACCCCCCCCCCCCCTCCCGCAACGCGGCCCGCGATCCACTCGCGACCCACCCTGCGACCCATCCGCGACCCACCCGCGACCACCCCGCGACCCACCCCGCGACCCACCCCGCGACCCACCCCGCGACCCACCCCGCGACCCACCCCGCGACCCACCCGCGACCCACCCGCGACCCACCCGCGACCCACCCGCGACCTACCCGCGACCAACCCGCGACCCACCCGCGACCCACCCCGCGACCCACACACATTGCTCTAATGAAAAATCGGCACCTGCGGCGGGTTCGTTGTATGGTTTGTACAAATTAGGCCCCTGAGGCGGGCTTCTTCAGAACCTCGCAGACTGCAGACGTCCCCGCCACCCCCTCACTCCTATCCGCGACTGCGGGGTGCTACGTATTTATTCGCCCGCTCAAGCATAACCATGTGACAAGTGGGGCGGGATTGTTTTTCTTGGGCCCCCGCGGCGCTGACACGCGCCGAGGTGCGCATTACTTTACAATGCCTTGCGTTGCACTGCGTCGCGTTTGTATTGCATTGCGATGCGATGCGTTGCATTGCATTGCAGTGCGTTGCATTGCATTGAACATTTTTCGGCCCTGGCTAAAGTAACCCTACTAACACGTCCCGGTCAGGTTCCAAAGGCCGTACCAGTAGGCCAAAATAACCGTACTCATAGCCCCGCTGGCGCGGACTTTCCAGGATGTCTCAAGCGGGGGCTTTCTCCGCCGGTCGTACGAGTACGACTCACGAGTAGATCATAAGTGACCGACGAACAAACTAACCAAACGACCGACCAATCAACCAACCAACCAATCACCCGACCAACCGGACAACCAACCAATTTTACCAACGAAGCAGCTGGCCAATCGGCCAACTGGCCAACTGGCCCACCAGCCACCCAACCAACCAGCCAGCCAACCAACCAACCAATCAACCAATCAACAAACCAACCTACCAACCAACCACCCAACCAACCACCCAACCAACCAACCAACCAACCCACCAACTGACGACCCAACTAAGCAACCAACAGAGCAACAAACCAAGAGTTCCACCAACCAACCAATAGACCAACCAACCAACCAACCCGCCAACCAACCAGCAACCAACCAACCAACAAACCGACCGACCGACCGACGAGCCAAGCAACTTTGGCAAAACACTCACACGGATCGCGCCACGGGGACCGAATGTTTTGTTGAACCCTCCGAACATTTTTTTGAACCCTCAGACAAAAAGTAACCCTAAGACACATGTTTTCGAACCTGCTCCCGGCGCAAAGTGTGCCCGGCGCCGATCGAAGAACTCCGCGCGGAGCTCCGAAAGTGTATGTCCATGCAAATTTGTATCCTTCGGCGGAGGAAGTAGTACCTCCACCCCAGCGTCCCCCCCCGATCCTCCAGAGAGTCCTGGCACGAGAGAGGCAGAAACCATTTGCGTCAGCCTCTGGCCCACGGGCTGGGCACGGACACGCCAGACGCGTGCCAGCGGGCAGAGATTGCACACCAAATACATGCTTGAAACGTCATTAAGACAAAGCCAGGGCAGGGACAACATCGGACCGGGATAAATCGGGGAACCCTGAGATTCGGCGGTTCTGGTGGATGTATCGGTCGCCGCGGCAGCTCCAAAGCGCTCCGGAACGCTCAGAGAGAATTCCAAAACGCTTTAGAACGATCGCCCAGCGCAGCGAACGGTCGGTCGGTCCGAACGGCATCCCCTCCTGGTGGGTCCGACGG